TAACCAGAATTCTAGATGAATTAACTAGAATTCTCGTTAAAATAACCAGAATTCTGGTTAACCTAACCAGAATCAAAATGTTAAATATACCCTAACCAGAATTCTGGTTATTCTAACTAGAATTCTGGTTATTCTAACTAGAATTTTTTTTCAGTGTATCTGTTACAATATTTATTAGTAGTTGGTACTAACTAAAGTAAGTTCCCCTTACTAATAAATTGGTAACGGCAACTATTTAACTTTTTACTATTATAAATGGTATCCCTATCCAACTAGCAGCAGTATAGTTTACTAACCAAAATGGTATTCGTAACAATTTTATTAGTTGCCTCAACTATTTTGTTCTCTCAGTGTGTCGTATAAATGAATTATATAAATCTAATAACTGTCTGGTTAATTTAAATTCACATTGAATTATTTGCCTTATTTGTTAATTCTCTTTATGGAAAAATGAGATAGATTTTGCTGATTCGCATCTGTCAATTTGCTTTGAAAATCCATTTTCTGAAGATGAAAACGTCCATACAATAAACTTGATGGGAAAAAATACATCGATATATAAATAACATTGAAGGCTATAACTTTATAATCTTTCCAATGTTTCTTCATTTGAAAATCAGGTTTTGGGGTTACAAAAAGCAAACATTTCTTTGGCTTAAGTAATATTAAATTACATATTCAAATGAAATCCTTTATCATTTGTTTTTCCTTGAATTGTCATTTTTTTCATTAGATTATTATTTAGAATATAAACAGGAAACATTTCTTTTTTCGTTAGCTAAAAAATTAGTCAATTGGCCTACTGTCGTCGGTCTATTTTTTTTTTCATTGAAAAGAAACAGCTCCCGACGATTGGCGGTATATTTCTTTCAATTAGTTTATTTTGAACATGGAGGAGAAATTTCTCTACTCTTTTAAAACAAGAGAATTAATCGAGACCGAAAGCGACGATTAATTTTATTCTCCCATGACAAAAGTACAATTTAATTTATCTTTTCCTAGTGATCAATTCAACAAAATTAAACTAGGAGAGATGGATTACTTGTCTTCGCGAGCTCGTTACTATATATCCTCCTAAGTCTATATGGCTCTATATATTTTATAACTCCTCCAAGGAGATCTGCTTCATGATCGAGTTATTTTACTCTTGTTTAAGAAAACTCCAATACCTACTATATGCGCCTGAAGAAGAACAAGAAGAAGAAGAAGAAGCGACTTTGGAATTCGTTCAATGCACATACACATTATATACTAAAGAAACTTACGCGTAGTAAAATGTTGTACTAAATCTCAACCATAATCGCTTCTCGTAAATGGTACTTCTCCAGCTTCCCCTTTAGAGAGAGAATTGATGGTTAAATTGGAACTTTCAATTTCTTTTCTTCAACAAAGGATGAAAAATTTAGTTGATTTTCTGAAAATCGAGATTTAAATCGTTTAAAAAAATTAAGGGGAAAAGAGTATCATTTAGCTTTTTGTTAATTTAACTTCAAATATGGTGATAAATTACTTTCTCCATGGGTAGTTTTTCGCACGTTGAGAAAACCTTGGACTCTACTTATTTGTTTGAAGCTTACTCAAGATATTGGACAAACGAAAATTTTGTTGGCCAACTGATCCACTTTTTAGTGTGGATAACGAGAAAGTGGTATGCAGGTTTCTTCTATAAAAAGCGAGGATCGATGTCCTTATTGGGTATATGTCAGTTTCGCGACCTCGAGTTGGATCAAACATAATATGACCCAAAGAGGGAATTTATCAATTTTGCCTCTTCATAACGGCAAAATCTGTATATATATACTGCTAAATGCTCATATAGTAGGTGTTTATATACTTTCTGATTATCTTCACAGTGCACAAAACCACTTTCTTAAAAACAGTTAGGTCAAGCAATTATATGTATTTATATGGATCTTCGTTTGTTAGAAAATTATCAGATATTTCTTTTTTTTTTACACTGTTGTACCTCTCGAAAGAAGCCAGTCAACAACTGTGTCAAACTATTTTAAAATCACTTTTCTATTCCCGCCCTCTTTATATATATATATAAAAAAAATCACACAATCATTCAAACACCGTTTTTGAAACGGATCCACAAAATCAATTTATCAATTTGAATTTATTATAATCAGTTTTTGGTATACGACAAACCTAGATTTCAACTAAAAAGTTTTTCTAAATATCTTTTTTAAAAAACGATAAAAATTCTTCCTCGCGAGTGAATGAACAAAATCGTCACTATTTAAGACTTTTTTTGTTAAATTTCTTTTGTCTTTCAGAAGCATTTTCTTTTTTTTTTTGAAAGCAACTGAAGAATACTAATACCCTCCTTTCTTAATCCCTGATCGTCATTCGGCTTTAAAGATAACGTGGGCGCCATTTCAAGGCGATGACACTGATCGTGTTTTGCAAGCGGTAAAACAAAATGAAGATGAAGTTTACCACTGTATATATATATATATACCAATATTTTTATAATATTTTGATGTTTCAAGTCATCTTGATTAATCTCTCTCTCTCTTTCTCTTTTTTTCGTCAAAAAAAGGAAAAAAAAATTTTATTTTAAATTTATTCAATCCAAATATCTTGAAATGTAATTATCATAAAAAACTTTTCTGAATCGTATGTTAGTACGGTGACTAATTTTACGGCTTTTCGTTTACCGAGATAAAATTTCTATACTAAAGGCCTAAGGTCATTTTATGTATATTTCTATTGCGAGATTACGATTTGAAATCTCTTGATAAACTTGAACAATGAAATTGTGGATTGAAATCAATCAGTGAAAAAAAAAAATAATAATGTCTTTATTAAAGTTCTGTTTGCAAAATAGCTATTTAGAATTATGGAACGATTTTAGAATTTTTCTTTTTATTGTCAATTTTTTAAAAATTTTCGTTTTCACCAATTAGAAATTGGTGAATAGAAACTATTTAAAAAATGTTATGAATCCACGTGCGCATTTTTTTTTTTTTTTTTTGTTTTACCGGCGAGGCGTCGAGCATAATCACTTTATGCAGTAATGCCCCACCTCAAGGGTGACATTCTTTCAATATTTTTTTAAATTTAGATCGCCTGTCTGACACTTAATGCTCCCTTCTTCTGAATCACCTAAAAAAAAGTAGTTAAGACATAAAAAATAATTTGCAAATTTACATTTTTTAAATTAAATTATAATTTTCTGCATTTAAAATTAGAAGAAAATTTAAATAGAACAAAAATAAATTGATTTAATTTATTAATATTATTAATATTATTAATTATATATAATATAATATATTAATTATATATTAATATTATTAATATTGTTTGTTAATATTTAATAATAATGAACTTTTAAATATTTACGATAAAACGATTTAATTAATATTTCTCTCCTCTTTTGTTTAATATTCTTTTTTCTTTGTCACCCAGAAGAACTTTATCTTAAATACTTAAAATGATGCGTTTCATTTTTAATTTGCATAAACTTATTTCAGTCACGTTTGGAAACTTATCGTGACAATTTGTCGCGCGCGTGAAGATTTATGTTGTAAGAGAGAGAAAGAGAGAAAAAAAAATTCGCAACGCGTATATTGAAAAAATCATCCTGATAAGAAAAAAGTTATTATAAATATATACAATTCTTCTGTTGGGATAGTATTTTAAATCATTTTTTTTTTTTGTTTGATTGATATGTTTCATTTGTAATAATGCGTGTATAGAAATAAAAGAAACGCACACACGTCACATAAAAAAAAAATGATAAGAATAAATCAAAATTAGAATAAATTTTTTTCTTCGAAAGGATGCAAATCAAATGATTTATATTATTCGAACTACCGTGCGCGCATACGTTTAAGATCATATCGGCATTTGCCAAGTGTATAGTCCAATTCTGTATTATAACATTATGACGATTTATGTGCGTTACATAATTTATTTCATGCGCTTTTATGGAGTGAGTTGTTAGATTTGTCCCAATTTTTGCTTTATCCTTTTTTTTTTCTTTTGAATTTAAGTTCTGTTTATATTATTTAACTGATAAATTATAGTTTTAATAATTATAATTTGACTAATTATAATTATAATTTTACTAATTGTAATTTGAATAATTATAATTATAATTTTACTAAATATAACTATAATTTGACTAATTATAATTTTACAAATTATAATTTGACTAATTACAATTTTACTAATTATAATTTGACTAATTACAATTTTACTAATTATAATTTTACTAATTGTAATTTGAATAAATATAATTTGACTAATTATAATTATAATTTTACTAAATATAACTATAATTTGACTAATTATAATTTTACAAATTATAATTTGACTAATTACAATTTTACTAATTATAATTTGACTAAATATAATTTGACTAATTATAATTTGACTGATTACAATTTTATTAATTATAATTTGACTAATTATAATTATAATTTTACTAATTGTAATTTGAATAATTATAATTTTACTAATTATAATTATAATTTTACTAAATATAACTATAATTTGACTAATTATAATTTTACTAATTATAATTTAAGTAATTATAATTATAATTTTACTAATTATAATTTAAGTAATTATAATTATAATTTTACTAATTGTAATTTGAATAATTATAATTTGACTAATTATAATTATAATTTTACTAAATATAACTATAATTTGACTAATTATAATTTTACAAATTATAATTTGACTAATTACAATTTTACTAATTATAATTTGACGAATTATAATTATAATTTTACTAATTGTAATTTGACTAATTATAATTATAATTTTACCAATGAGTGAAAAGAAAATTATTTGAATTAAATAAATTTTTTTTCAATCTAATTATAATCAGTAAATAAAAATTAGTTTTTAAAAAGAAGGTCTATTTTTGAACTTGATTTGCAAACAGGAAATAAATATTCCAAGGTTATTTAAAAAAAAAAAAAATGTTAATTACGAAAGATAATTATTGTTATTAACGAAAGAAGCAGTCTTGAAAAACTTACACAATTTTTCGTTTTCAAAACACATTCTCCTTTTTTTTTTTAAATGTGAAATGGATTTATTTCTCTTCCTGCATCAAATAGCTCTAAATCTCCTTCTAAAAGTAGATTTTACTGTTTTGATTTCTGTCAATGAATTTCTAAATATCCAAACGGCCCCCATTTTTATTTATTTTATCTCCACTTAATGTTTCAAATGTTGCAATTTAGTGTGCCTTTTTTCAATGTTACATCACATCACATAGTGAAAAATGAGATAAACTTTATATGTAACTGCAGTTTGGAAACTAAATTTTTTTTTTTTTTTTTTATTCCTAAAAAATTCTCGCTTTGTATTAAAACTGGCACTTTAGAGTACCTTTTAAGTGACTGCGCATGGTACAAAAGTTAATGCATACGACGTAAGATGCATTGGAATGTCTTTGTGAACGAACTTGTTTCACCTCTCTTATATAGTCTATATATTGTGAATGCCTACTCTCGCGACTTAACTATCTTATCCGAATATAGAATATTATATTTTGAAAAAAAATATTTATATCAGAATGATAGATTTGACAGGTAGATAATAGATCTGTATTCTAGTTTTTAAGAATTGTAAAAAAAAAAAATTCTTACTTTTAAAAAATAGATTAAATTAAAAATTATTTTTTTTTGGTTAGAAATTTATATTATTTTATTCAGATATATAAGGAGAGGGTTTTATTAATTACTTTTATAATTAATTGACTTTCTAAATTCCTTGGAGTGAGATTTCACTCTTATTTGAGCAAAAATTGTGCCATTTCGAAGGCAAAGTGACAATTCAGATGAGGAATATTAAAACGCCATTAATTTTTTAGAATTTTTTTTTTCAAATTATAAAATTAATCTTGTTTTTTCTATTTATAACAAATTCTGAAGAAAGTTGAAAAATTTTTTAAAATTCTTATTTTGATTGATCTAATTAATAATAATAAACAATATATTGAGAACGTTTTGTACCTGGGCACACGACCGCGATCATTATATCTAAATTTAATCACGCAGACATATGAGGGAAGTAAAAGAGGAGCTTTCTTGGAAGCGAAATCTGCTGATCGTAAATAGCAAGTTATGTTATTTAGGTTTCATACTTTATAGAAATATGTTGATTTTACATATTTTGACACGTTTATATTCAAAGAAAAGAGAAAGTGTCTTTGGGGGGGGGAGGGGAACATTGAATTTTTATTTTTGGTCGATTGAATTAAATTGAAGATTACGTTATAACATATCCAGAGGTTAAAGGAATTTATTGCGAAATAAATGATTATTTTTTTTTTTTTAATACAAAAAAACTTGACTCTTCACTTTTGTGTAAAATTCTTTTTCAATACCGCCTACTTATTTTATATACATTTGAATTGAAAATTTTTAAAATTTCATTGCAAATTTAATTTTTCAAAGAACTTGAAATCTGGTTTAAAATTTTTATAATCGAAATTTTTTTCCTACAGAATATATAAAGGAGAAAAAAAAATGTAATAATTTTTAAATTGTAACTAATTTTAAAAGATTATTGAGTCTTAAATAATGTTCCAGCAGCTGCCTGTATAATTAGTGGATACGTTTATTTATATAAATATATAAAGATATATAGTATCTGTACAATATTTCTGAAGAGCACTTAAAAGCTAGCATTCAACTGATAGTGATTTTCGTCTCTATTTTTGAACACTGGGGTATATACACGAAAATATAATCCGTGCCCCAGTTTTATGCATTATTCCTACATTTTTAATCCAAGTCTTGTGTCCGGAAAAAACGAAAACTAACAAATATTTTGAAACACTTCTTAAAAAAAAGTGATTCATTATATTGTTTACATTTTTTTTTTTTTAGTTAACAATGGGTTTTTCTATTTGTTTCATATTATGAAAAACTTTGTTTTGAAAATAAATTAATGTTTATAATTTTATTCATAATTTTATTTTCAAAACTATTAATAAAAAGTAATTATTTATATAAATTAGGTATCAATTTTTTTTGTGTCACGCTTTAAAAAACAATATCCAAAATGTTATTATAAAAAAAAAATAATTATTAATTAAAAATCCTTAACCTTTTATATTTTTTTATAATTAACAACATCGATCTAAAGAAAAATAATAGTAATTTGCATGATTCTGAGAGCAAATTAAATTAAACTTTGCCGATTATTTTTTTCTTTGCAGTCGATTGCGTATAATATGTGAAAATTAATTTCCATATTATAATTAAAGTCAATCTCTCTCTCTATAAAGAATGAAACTTATTGATCATTATTTTTTTTCCCTGAATATATAAATTAATAAAACATTGAATTTTTCTCTTGGGGTGTGAAGATTTTTTTATTTCAAAATAAAAAAATTTTAACTCAAAAAAACTCCCCCTTTTATATTATAAACTGTATATATATATATATATATATATATAATAACAGTTTTTTTTTCTGTGTACCTACACACTTTCATTCGAGTGCGAAAGTAGTACAAACAACTTTGCAGGTGGGTTATCTCACTTCGGATTAAATTTAGTCTGCGTAATTATTTGAATCGATTTCTTCCTTATTTCTCTATTTGCAACTAATTTCATCGTAAAGCAGATTTTCTAGGTTTTATCGTCTTGCTGATTATTTTCTAAGAAAGAAATATTGTTTGTATTAAAAGAAAAAGTCGCGAAAGTGGTAAAATCAGGATAATGAAGAATCAGAAGTTGCAAATGATTTGAATAAATAATTATACCTTCAAGTATGTTAAGTTTGATTATACTAGATTTTGATATTTTTTCATATAAAAATAGTATTTATACTAAAAAAAATAAATTTTAAATAATCTTAATAAACTATTTAAATTTTTTTTCTTTTTTTTTTATTAAAGAAACAGCTGCTGCACTTGATTTAAGAGAGTTTAATTGCGACAATTACTGCGGTCATTGTTGGCTATGAAACATTTCATATAATCTTCCGATTGATTTTAGAAACTAAACATTAATTACGAACATAAAATTCCATATGTGCACATGATCGTTATTTGCATATCATGCCTCTAAAAAAAAAAAAAATAGTGAATCCTAGAATATCCACGATCTAGCGTGATCCAGGGTGAAATGGAAAGTTTGATTCTCCGCAACAAAGTGTGACAATGAATTCCTGAATTCTTATCTCAAGATAATTATATCGAGAAAGTCAATTATCGAGATAAATGCAATTTTTTTTTTTAATAAAACGAATTTTCTAAAAAAAATGTCCCAATGGGAAAATAAAAAAATTATCTTAAAATTTTGTATTGTACAAGTGCATTTTGATATTATCAAAAAGAAAATTATAGAAGCTTAGAATATTTACAGAACTGTATAAAGTATATATATATATACATTTAATCTGTATATAACAGGAAGGTATCTTCTCTTTCGTGGCTTGTATGTGACTCGAGGCAAAATAGATGGACAGTAATGATAACCCATTCGTTTTATATAAAAACTAAAACGTTCTTTATATACCGCGGTGAATAAACAAGATCCACGATGAGAAATCACTTTCATCGGGTCCTTTACTGTCCAATCGTTGAGAGAATTTGAACTAACTCCGCGTAACAGTATATATTATCTATGCCTCGAATTACCCATATATGTGGATTTTATCTCATAGACAACCCTAGAGACGTGTGTCCTCCCTCGCTATAAATCTAACCAATAAACGTAACGACGTGAGAATTTACGATGTTCCTCTTGAGAAATAACGAGCCGTCTTCTTTTTCAAAATCACCTGAAAATCATATAATTACGAAAAAAAAAAAAAAATTTTGTGATTATCTCGTGATTTATGGACAAATTAAGTGCGATCATGATGCGCACTTGATATCAAACAGAAGCTCAAATTCATCAATTTATTTGCCAAAAGAATTACAAAAAAATTTAATTTTACAAATTTCTAATTTAAAATTTTAAATTCGTTTGAAAAATAGAAATAATTTTTAAGTTACACTCAGAAAAAAATTCGTTTAAAGTAACCAAATTTTGGTTAAATCAACAAAATAAATGCATTGATATACAGTTAACCAAATTGCATAAACCAAACGTTTATTTAGCTCAATCAATTTTTTTCTTTGTTCAAAAAATTTATTAAAATAAACACCAAACAGTTATTTAGATCAAATAAATATTTATTTGAATTAAACAAAATTTGGTTTGAACTAACCAAAAAATTGGGTTAAATATAAAAAAAACATTTGGTTCAAACATATCTTTTTTCTGAGAGTACTGAAAAAAAAATTTATTTGATTCAAATATACTCAATTATTTGACTATTATCAAATAAATATTTACTTGAACCAAATAATTTTTATTTGAATGAAATAAATTGTATTTGAACCAATAATTTCTGTATTTGAAACAAATACCATTTAATTGACTAAAATAATAATTATATTTGATAAAAATAAAAATATTTATTTGATAATAGTCAAGTAACCGATTATTTGAATCAAATAAATTTTTTTTCAGTGTAGTTTTTTTTATAGAGATTTTGTTTGTTATAAAATGTTTTTTTTTTGTTATAAAGAGTTATTCCAATATAACCATAAAGTAATTGAATAAATAGATCAAATAAATATTTATTTGAATTAAATAAATTTTGTTTTTAACTAATCAAAAAATTGGGTAAATATAAAAAAATGGTACATTTGGTTCAAACATATCTTTTTTCTGAGTGCACTGAAAAAAAAATTTATTTGATTCAAATTGTACTCAATTATTTGACTATTATCAAATAAATATTTACTTGAACCAAATAATTTTTATTTGAATGAAATAAATTGTATTTGAACCAATAATTTCTGTATTTGAAACAAATACCATTTAATTGACTAAAATAATCATTATATTTGATATAAAAATAAATATTTATTTGATAATAGGAAAGTAACCGATTATTTGAATCAAATAAATTTTTTTTCAGTGTAGTTTTTTTATAGAGATTTTGTTTGTTATAAAATGTTTTTCTTTTTTGTTATAAAGTGTTAAAACCATAAAGTAATTGAATAAATAAATAGATCAAATAAATATTTATTTGAATTAAACAAATTTTGTTTGAACTAACCAAAAAATTGGGTTAAATATAAAAAATGGTACATTTGGTTCAAACATCTTTTTTTCTGAGTGCACTGAAAAAAAAATTTATTTGATTCAAATTGTACTCAATTATTTGACTATTATCAAATAAATATTTACTTGAATTAAATAATTTTTATTTGAATGAAATAAATTGTATTTGAACCAATAATTTCTGTATTTGAAACAAATACCATTTAATTGACTAAAATAATAATTATATTTGATAAAAATAAAAAT